TGCTTTTTCTTTTCAATTATTGTTAATAGCTAGTTATTGGTTTGCAAAAAGAAATTTGTTTTCCAAGTTCTGACAAAGACCTATTCAAGTTGAGTGCGATTGCATGGCAAGCAAACTGCTCGACTGAGAGCCAAACGATTCCTTCGAGGCTCACAATTTTAAAATATTAGAGTGAGGAAGACTATCTATTACCCCGTAAGGGAATGAGAACGGATTACCAACACCCGATGTGTGAGAAAAATTATTAAAAAGAGGAATGACCAAAAAGATGACCTGAGCTTGAATAAGAGGGCCGAACAGAACCAAGCCTTCCGAGAATTTGTTCAGATGACAGCAAAAATAAAGTGCGGAATGGACTATATCGTATATCAAACGGGCAGTTTCCCACCGTCCAAAATAGGATCGATAATATAATGGCTTGCAAGATTCTTTCTAGGTGTCGTGACCAGGGTCACGATGAACGAGTGGGCAGAAGCGGGCGGAGCGTACAATACAGGATAAAAGGGGAGATTCTTGAAGGTTAGGTTCAATCTTTCTCGTTCTATTTTCTCATGTTCTTGATGGGCGTATCATTCGTCAATATATGTGATTTTGCTTTTTGTAGACTTCATGAAGGCAGAACCATCACCATGTGCGAGTACGAACACGAGGTGCGGCCGTCCTAGGACGCCTTGTGGCTTCACAAATAAAAATTTACCGTTTAAGTGCCTTAACACTCTCACAATCACCTTTAATCTTTTACATCAGCTCTTAGCAACATCCTTAATTGGAAAGTACCCAGAAGAATCTCGTTCCCTGAAAATTTGATGGACTGAGGCTGGATCACTGCACTGAGCAGGCCTGCACAGGTTTTTATTGATAAAAGCGCGGAAATCAATGGGAATGTCTACCAAGAAGGGATCCCTGAGTACCCTAGAAGCAGAATCATAACATTTCTGTCTTTTTACAGGAACGCGCTCGGGACCAATACACCGACCCACTTCTTCGAGACCAGTATCGGCTGTTTTGTGGCGATGGATTCATGGTCTGCTCACAGTCCGAATTCAGATCCATTAGACTTCTCTGTTTGGGGTTTTATTGAAGAACTACTAAGAATCGAAATGCAAAAGTTTGGTGATTCTGAAAAGAACTGCCTAAAATTTGGAATGAAATATGCGTTGAACACCTCCGCCGCACCATCGACTGGGTGAAGAAACAAATTGAGGCCTGTATCATAATTGGCAGCTACTCCAAATCTTTTTTACAGTTTATGAAATTCATAACTTTCAATTTTCTGAGGGCAATAAATAAAAGTTGAGCGAGTTTTATGGCCCACGTAATTTTTCGCCACCCTGTACCCTATTTTTGTTTTCCTCGTAGACACAGGATTTCAAATACGGTTCTGGGGTAACGACAAAATCTCATGATTCTCGTGCACGATGTTTTGAGTATCAGAATGCAGTTGAAGCTAAACATTTGCCACAAAGTTGATGGCCCCTTCCTCGCCAAATGCATCGAATAACAGTGCACGTACCTTTTCCTGTCTTACGTTGTACGTGAGCCGAAGAGCAATCGCGTGGTCGAAATGACCTTGACGATCGACCAGGTGTGGTCGACCTACCAGTGCTCCGAAGTAGATGGGCTCTGATCCTCTCCATCCGATAGGGTACGTGATATTCACCTACAAATCGGACTGCAATGGATTGGAGGCTACAAGAGCTACAACTCCTTTCTATCCTTTTTTGGGTAGTTGTGCCACCCTTGGAGAATTTCATAATAATTTGTATTAGAAACTTTGAAATGGGACATATAGACAGGCTTAGTAACAAATAGTACATAAGACAGTCTTTTCAAGCTCAAACCGTATTTACAATAGCACTGGCCGTTTGCTAGCACAAAATTCGAAAGTCCATCTCAATTCTTTTTTGAAACCACCTATTTGTGATCAAAACCTTCACAGCGACCAAACCAAATTCATTACCATTTTGGTTCTCTATAAACATTGGATATTACTCATAGAATGCAAGGGGGAGGCAATAAAAAAGACATTTTGTCTCCACTTTCAGATGAATTTAAAGCACACTCCGTCAATTTAGATCAAATTGCCCAACTTCGTATCCGAGAGCCGTCTCCTTCATGATTCCATTGTTTATAGAGACCTCATGAGCCACCACCTACGTGGACGGCATCAGAAGAATTAGCCCTGGAAACATGGTGCACTGGTCGATCTCAATGGGGTCTTCGAAGGATCGTGTACCATAACGACCCTTACTGGAAAGCTAGTTCCGAGGGGATTTGCACAGTGGTAGCTAATGCCTCTAGAAAACTATCCAACATTAAATCGTATTCACGAAATTACGTAAGAGCTTCAGGCTGAAGCACTTACGGTAGACCTCCTTGAGCCTGACGACGGTGACAGATGACGTCATATTCTGAAGACGGTGAGGGCAGTGAAGGAGGGCCTGCGTTCACTTATAGAGGGACACTTAGGGAATACTCTGCTGAGGAACTCCCGTCAACGACAGCAATCTCTGCGAAGAAAAAAGGGCCGAAGTCCGACATAGGCAAAATGTCTTCCCTCCCTGCACCTGATACATATAGTATCGCAACAATGTGCAGTATGAGTACCACCAAGACTCAAAAGGTCAAAAGAAGAGAGCCATAGCACTAAGGTGCGTGGAGCGGTTTCTACTTTCAAAACTCTGCAGATATTCTGCTGTGGCGAGTTTCGGACAGCTCCATCACAGTGTTTTCATTCGTGTCTATTGTGAACACCACCCGAAAAGCATACCTCATTATTGATGATGTCACTGGCGAATTCGGCGATGGGACCGCTGAAGTTCCCCCAACGTGTTTTCGGCATCAACATCGTGAGGTGGTCGTTGAGGTAGCAAGCCCAGTCGTACGACATACAGAGGTCAGTATAGGCCGCCTAAAAAAACAGAATCAGGAAAGCACAGAATGCTTTGTGCCTAGCGGGAATCGAAGCTCTACATCCACCTCAGACATAATGGAAGAAGCTTGCATTGGATTTCAAGGTTTTTATCAACCTGTCATGAGGCTAGACAATTAATGCCACGAGTCGGGATTAGGTTCTAGAGCAAGTCCCTTCTAGAGTGAGAAAGAGGGGTCCCAAGGGCAGGAGGCACGACACTGTCGCGACTCAAAAGTGCGAGGCAACGGCGCTAAGGCCTTGCCTTGTGTGCTGCCGTGCTGCCAGCGTTATCAACCACGGCATACGTGGTCTCTGCGTCCTCTCGCGTACGACGTACTATCTCGCGTTCTCCCTCTCCTCGCAGCGCTGTGTCTCTTCGTGAACTACAGAATGCTGGAGGACAGCCATGCGAGCGAGCAGGGTTCCGATGGGGGTTCAGATGTCGGTCAGACTTGCATCGCGCGATGCAGTCGCTCTGCCAAAAGTGCAAGCGGCGGGCAATGGCCGCCGCGATCGATACCGATGTCGACTGCATCGATGTGGGCGGGGCCAATCGCCCGTCGCTTGTGCACATTGCAAGAGCGACTGCATCGCGCGATGCAATCGCAGAGTCTGACCGACATCTCAGCACGATCGACCATATCCGCACGGTTACGAGATTCATTGAAGTTTCACGAGAGTACAAGATGCGTGCATGGGTAGTTCTTGTTCTTCTGTTTGATGGAGAAATTCACTTCCCTGCATATTCAGGATGAGGGTGTAAGACGCTCAAAGCTCCACGATGGAACAGGATAATTTTTGGACGCATCTATCGGGATCGTAACATACCTCGTAGTGCTTTCCCATCAATATCGACTGGCACCGTAATGTTGTGAATTATATACTGATTGATACGTGCAACTTCGTCGAGGTATTTCAGGGTGAGAATGTTTGGCCGACCGTACTGAGGATGTTCTCGGCCGGCGACTGCAATCGAAATATAAGTCAAAGAAAATGAGAAATTATAATTCTTACAGCAATACATAAGACGACACTTGCCAATAATGTCCATATATCCTTTGAGATCGTAGCTTTTCCCCGGCCAGAATCGTTGCTCATCCAATGGCCAGTGTTCCGAACAGCACCTATAGGAACAAATAAACTCATGCTATATGAATCTTTGGTTTAGCCAAAATCGAAACAATATTTTCATGACTGAAGGGTTCTTAACTGTAGACAAATCTCGTTGTCTTTTTGAGACTCAAACTCCGATCCCTTTCTAATCTGGAAGTTTTATAATGAATGCACGTATTTAGTCAGAACACGACATTATAAGATATTGATGCCACAATGAACTCGACAAAAGCTTCGCACCTCTACACCTTCAGTGGAAGTATGCGCAGTATAGATGGGGAGGAGTGTCTCTAGCAAAATCCTCTACGAATTGAAGGCACGGGTCTGAATCGAATGGGTGTGTTATTTTGCACAAGAAGAAGAAGTGCGTTGAGGAAGCCTTTAGAAAAAGGCAAAAGCGCCCTAGAACACTGGAATTCCCCTTATGAGGTCGACCGTGGTATGGCGGGAGACACAGTGCTGCGAGGAGAGAGAAAATGCCAGAGAAAAACACGAGGAAACACAAACATCGATCGTCGCGTAGATCGCGATTTACAAGAATGGCAGCGGTAGCAGCGGTGAAGCGAAGTTTAGTCTAAACCCGTGCCTTTGATGAAAGTTTGAAGCTCTGCCACTCCCGAGTATCTTCAAATAACAAAAACGCTAAAATAGATTGCTTACAAAAGCAATAATTGATTTCCTAGCAACAAACCAACTAGTACGACTAACGGGGGATTCTGGGATCAGCTAAGAGCTGTTGCATCAAATAAGGGTTCCAACTGAGTTATTTATCTCTTAGATTAGCTATGCTAGTCATGGAGAATCACCACCATGTAGAAAATTGCGAAACTTCTTGAACTCACCGCAACTTCATATCTCCACGGAGCATTATTCGGCGAAAACACGAACTGGGGATCTTTTGTGGTCTGGAAATGAGAAGTGCTCGCATTTTTACAAATCATAGAGAAATCAAGCAAAAAGATGCAACTATAAATACTGAATTAGCTTTTCTAGAAAATGCTACGGATGTGTACTGATGCTTTGAATTTGTCCTTAGTACTGCTATATGGTGAAAGACATGAAAGACATTCTGACGCATAGCCTAACACGCTGTTTCAGTTGCTCGCAGCAGTAATGCGAGTGCTAAGACCGGACCCTTGTTGAAGATGCCACCGCAGAACGGTAGTCGCACCAATACTGTTCTGCGGTGGCACCTCTCCACAGCCTCTGAGGACCAGGGTCAAGCGTGCGTTGAGGAATCCTCGACACGTCGCAGGGGGGGGGTCGTATTGGCCCGCTGGGTGGAAGAGATCGAGCCATTTTGATGCAGTGGGATCATCACCGTCGGAAGACAAATATCAAGGATGAGTCGATGCCAGGCCAGAGGATTTCCAATGAAAATGATATTTCACCCACACAAAATTTTCGTGATTCTGAGGCGTCCGGTAATTCTTAGTTACTTCAGTGTTTTATCACCACACAAGTTAAAGAATCTGAATTTCGCACGCTTTCCAAGAGATATTTCATCTTTCAAGTAAGACCCCGAATCTGAAGGGATGTGAGGTACACGGCGCATCCGAGAAAGGGTCTAGTTGTTGCGCGCGCTTCAACTACGGCTCCTTGGACAAACAACCTCAATTCAGGAACAATCGAGAGAATTCTGAAAGTGTCCGTGCGCATTTACAGGGAGGTGTACACCATTCAACATTGCGTTAACGGACTCTTCAGGGTTAAATTTATAAACATGTAACCTTTAAAGTTGAGAAACGCTAATCAATCACTTTTCTTAGAAGAGAAAAGCAGTGATTCCAAATCTGCTCTTACTTTAGTACATAATCGCCCTTAAAAGGATATACAGCCGTTGAAATAGTGCCAATGTAGCGAAAAAGTACCTTTCGGCGGTACTCGTGCGAAAATCCTCAACGTAGCCGTTTTTTTAATACTGGACGTTTGGAGCAGTTCTAGTAAGCATTTGATAGAGCAAATCTTCTAGTTTATGATGGCGTATTTACTTTTCGGATTGGATGAGTTTGAACGGAGTTATGGCTTTAGGAAGTAAAAAAACTCGCACTCATCACAAATTTTCCTCGTTAATTTTGCAAAAATCCTCAACGTGGCCATTTTTTGAATACTGGACGTATAGAGCTGCTTTAGCAACGGTTTGGTAGAGAAAATCTTCTAGTTTTGTCTGCCATATTAACTTTTCGAATTTGACGAAAATGAAGCAAGTTGTTGCTTCGGAAAGTGTAAAAACTCGTGCTCATCTCGAATTTTCCTCGTTAATTGGCCTAAATTTGTTATTTCTTATAACTTTTTGTAATTTCTATACTGATTAGAAAAAGCTCTTCACAAAACTTCCAAATCTACTTTCAGATTGAAAATTCGTCATATTTGAAGAAAGTTATAATCATTTGAATATTTGTTTCAAATTTCAATAGTAAATAAGCTGCTCCACGGTCAACGCCAAAGTCCAGTCAACACACAGCTGGCGAAGGCGGTTAAAAAGCTTCTTTCAACTGAAGGGCTACGTGCAAATTGAGAACCACAATCTGTGTAGTACTAGAATTTGGTAAGTCTTGTGGAGGAAATAAATGAAGAACAGATGTTGGGTATGCCATTTTTAGTGGCTAGTTTGTCGTTTTCTGGTCTGTTTCTCGTTTGCTCGTTTGGTAGGACTCATCAATAATGATTATTCTTTGACTTTTTCACTTTTGTACTTCTTAAACGAATTTTTTGTGGGCGGTGGGGTAGCAGGGCTTTTTTATGAGCAGTTTTGGGGGAGAATTAAACAAGCTTTTCAACCTTTTCATAGTTCGGCTTTTGAAGAGGGTTGTTTCATGGACTTCGGCCTCCGGCGGAGGGTGGTGGGGGGGGTCGTATTTCCAAATTTTCCTCAACGCCTCGCTTGACCCTGTGGGACTCCACTATTGTGTAGAGTTCTGACTAGCAGAATTCTTTTCTAGTGTTGGGAACAATTGAGCTATTGTAACTGGACTGAAGTGCCTGCACTACCTTGGAAACACTGCAAGCTTAGTTTGGTCTACGAATGCTCGTCCACGAGTACGAATAAGGTCCAAAATGCCTCCAAGTTCCTTGCGAGACTCACTGGTCCGGCCTGTTACGTTCTCTAGTCCTGGCACCCACAAATGACTCCACCTTCTAGTGCTGCTGCCAACTATGTACAAGAGGTAAATTCGATGACTATGGGTCACTTGAAAAGAACTCTTCGAGCATGTCACCTCAACAGCTTAGGATTTTTAAACAAACAGCATCCACCTGTTACCTGCTGAACGAAGCCTTGAAGCTACACGTGGGGCACATATTTCTTAATTTTCGACTGGGCCAACGAAAATAATTCGCCTTTTTTTCTCCCTATCACTCTTTTTTTTTACCCACTTTTAATAAATAAGTGTTGAAAAATTGCTTCTCATTTTTATGTGTTTCGCTTTTTCGAGATTATCTTTTCTTTTATGTGATTATTTTTTTCTAGTGAGACTCTTTTTTTTTGCTTAGATTTTAGAGTTTCTATTATCTAATAATGTTCTGTTTTGATTGTTCTTGTTTTTCTTTTTTTGTTTCAGTTTCGATGTCTCTGTTTTTTTTTTCAAGGGTGGCCAAAAAAGAAACTTAGCATCAGGTGAAGAGAAGAAAGGAAGCCTTCACTTGCAACACTGCCGTGATCAAAAGTCTTTCGGCCGAATATCAACGAAATGCTTTTTTATAAGTGGAAGGAAACCCTCCTCCGCGCCCTTTCGGAATTTGACGCGCAGGGTGAATAACGGTCGAGGATTTCCTCGACCATAGCTCTCTACCATGTGAGAGTAGTGCCGAGAGTGAACATCCGCGCGGAGAGCACAGACGGCACGCCCATGGCGAGTGTGAATGTCCGCGCGAGAGATCGTGTCTGACCGGGAGAGAATCCTCGACGTGCCGTTGAGGAATCCTCAAGCGATATTCACCCTGGTTTGACGTCATCTGCATCCCCGTCAACCACAATTACCGACTACTTAATTGTTCCAGATGAAAGCCTACATAATTTCCTTGATCGTTTAGTGGTTGATCGTCTCTGAAATCAGGCACCCTATTGTGCAATTTCGACGCATTCTTCAGACAATGTAGAAACGGCCACGTACGTTAAACAATCTCGCTGCGCTCACCCTTGCAGCAGATTCTTGAGATTTCCCCAGTTTAGAAGTGTAATACATTACGAAGTCTTTCTATGGAATGGAATGTGCTCTTCAATGCTCTGACGGAAATGTCAGTTTTGAGTTTGGCGGAATGCTAAAAGTCGGTTCGTTAAGTGGAGGGAATCGCCTTTTTGCCACCCCTGTATGTGCATATGTATGCATATGTGTTCCTAGAGTCAAGCATCAGTGACAGGTTTCAATGACAGCTTCGTTCACGAACCAGTTCTTCAATCCATCGCAATCCATAGCCGCAAAACGCCGTGCACAGCAGCGAAGCAACCAGAAACTCGAGTCGAAACTGAAAACTATCACAGTAAAACATTCTAGAGAAGAGCAAGTGGAAAGAATGAATTTGAAGAAAAACAAAAAATATGAAATTAGGGGGGGGGGAGAGATTGAGCGCGAAAATTTCATGAAATATAGTGTCACATTTAAGATAGAGCCACAAGTTTTTTTTACCCGTAGTGATGGTCAAGAATGTCAATTCGCTCATGAGGATGCACTAGTCTGAAACTCGCCTTCCCCCACCCCCAGGGATATGCTATCATTTTAGAATGTAGTCAGAAA